AAAAAGGTTTGGACTTGTATTCATAAACACTTTGTTTGGTGTGATTGGTGTTTGTTGGTTTAAAGCCTTCCATGATTTTGATGGTGATGTAGGAATTTTCTAGGACAAATCAATCTTAAATCTCTTTAAAACAAAACAGATTTTTTTATCAATTAAAAAAGACGCAGATTCTATGCTCATAACTCTCTTCATAGCCATTGGATAAATTTGTCTTATAATCAACTGTGAAATTTGTTGATTATATGAATTTTTTGCTCTTCCACAATTAACTTAGATCTCTTTTTATTTACTAACATGTTTGTAGCACTTTCAATTTTTTAATGAAACAAAAAAGTAACAGTTTTTAAATAAATTGATGGAAAATGACTATTTGAAAATATTTTTTAGTTATAAAAATATTATGTCAAATTAAGAATATGATCCATTTAATATGGTTAATATTTGTACTATGAATAATAAAAATCATGTTAAAATAATTGTACATGTGCTGTAATCTAGAAAGAAAATTAATTTTCCTTAATACACAAATCAATTTTCCTTAAAACACAAATCAATTTTGCTTAACACACAATATTTTGCTCCATATTCATAGAAAACAGATCATGCGATAAATATGGAGCAAAATAAAGGATCAGGTGATGAGAGTTAAACACTCAACAAAAGAAGCAAAAAGAAAAAAGACAAAAAAGACAAAAGTTGCAACCTTTCCATATTCAGTTTTGGAAGAAGATAATTTCTTACTTAGTAAAACTGAAACATCTGAGTACATTTACATTTCCACTGAAAGCATGTAAAATGAAGAAAAAGACAAGCCAGAGGATTAAGTGGATGTTAGAGATCCCTAAGAAATATTACATCCAACCAGTTTCAGAACACCCCAATAATCAATCTTGAAATTAACCAGAAATACCAAAACTTAAAAAGTGGCATTCAGTCGAATTCTAGAACCTACCGAACATATGTTGATGGAGGCATATTCACAAATTTCTCCATCTTCCTCTGTCCTTGCCTCTCGGAAATTTATGAGAACGTCATTTTCTTTCCAATGTTCACAGAAAATTTCATGGTATTGGTGGAAAAAGTGAAGCAAATGACTTAAACAAATAAATCCTTAGTGTTTCTCCGCACTTTCTTTCCTTATCAGAACTGAAACCAAAATCATCAGAGGTGAAAGAAGCTAGATAAGTGCCAATTGTTCACATACTCCCAAGTGATATAGTTACATCATGCCATCAGACACTGTTCCTGTTAACTGGACGAGTTTAGGAGGACAAGACCAATAGAACAGGAGAAGCCAGAGCCTGATGCAACAATAATGTGAGGACAATGATATACACTTTCATAAGAAGCACTCACTTGGGTATTAATGATGCAGGATTTTCCAGAAATTTCCACATGGGCCTGGAAGTATGTAAAGATGGATTTCCAGATTCTAAGATATTTTTAGTCCATTTGACCCGGCTAACAAGTTCCTCCAAGTCCAAAATTGTAGCTTCTATAGTATCAGATGTCATGCTATTTTGGGAGAAGTTACTGGCAGCACGTGTCTTCTTCAATGGCCCACCATTTGAAGCTTCCCTGGCAGCAGTGGCTCCAGCCACATCAGCTGATGCACCCTTAACATATGAACTGAA